CAGAAGGAACAACTTATAAAACACAATCATGTGGTGAGCTCCCGCATACCACTGGTAATATTTTTAGTAACTTGGGTAATAGAATCCAATTAAGGTGACCTAGGGTCTTTTACCCTCACTCGTGGAGAAAAAAACGAAGGTCCACTGCTTTAGGGCTAAGAAATGTCATGTCCTGTCCTAGCCGGTTTGGCTCAGTGGATAGAGCCTCAGCCTGCCGAAGCAGGGTCTGGGTTCAATTCTGACCAAGGGCATGTACCTAGGTTGCAGGCTCCTCCCTGGCTGGGGCCCAGGTCAGGGCTCATGCAGGAGGCAACCAATCAAAGTGTTCCTCTCACTTTGATGTTTCTCTCTGTCTTTCCCTTTCTCTTCCACATTCTCTAAAAAACAATGGAAACATATCCTTAGGTGAGAATTTAAAAAAATAATAAAGAAATGTCATATCCTATGAAAGACACATCATGAAAATGCCTAAAGAAAGTTGTCATTTCGCCCTAACCGGTTTGGCTCAGTGGATAGAGCGTTGGCCTGCAGACTCAAGGGTCCCAGGTTCGATTCCGGTCAAGGGCATGTACCTTGGTTGTGGGCATATCCCCAGTAGGGGGTGTGCAGGAGGCAGCTGATCGATGCTTCTCTCTCATCAATGTTTCTAACTCTCTATCCCTCTCCCTTCCTCTCTGTAAAAAATCAATAAAATATATTTTAAAAAAAAGAAAAAGAAAAGAAAAGAAAGTTGTCATTTCTTCATGGTGAAGGGACTGGAGTCCGTGTTGATGAAAACACCTTGGTAGCTGCGGTGACTGGCAGTGGCTGCAGCAGCGGGGTGATGGGGCTGGTGCCTTCCCCTGATCAGCCCGGTCGCCTCCCACAAAGGGAGGCCAGGCTTCAGCTTAAGCCCGCTCCCCAAGGGGAGCAGGTAGCAGGCCTAAGCCGTCAGTAGGACATCCCCTGAGGGGTCCCAGTATGTGAGAGGGGGCAGGCTGAGCTGAGGGAGCGCCCCCCCCCCCAGTGCATGAATTTCATGCACCAGGCCCCTAGTAACATTATAAAAGAACAATAAATAAGTTTTACTGAATTTTATATGTATTGGTACAATGTTAGTACAAGTCTCCAAGTCTTTTAAAAGGGAACATAACAGGGGAAAAAAAGTATATGACCATTAAGCTTAGGGTGATGTAAAAGGTAATCAATGTCATAGGTCTTAATTCTGGATTTAAATTTACAAGTTCAGAAAGGTCCCCTTCCTTGGCTAGCTGCAGAAAGTAAAATATCCAGCAGAGGGCGACTGTCCATTGTTTACAATGGAGGTTTGGAAACTAGGAATTCATTTTCTTTACCCTTTAGGAGCAAGTCATATAAAAACAGCATCAATCTATGTGAATATACTATTGTTGAATGCGCTCAAACCTAATAGAACAGAAACCATTCAAGGACAACGCGCACATTTTTTTGTTAAATTTAACTGATGCAAGTATGGTAGTTAGGCATATTTTGGAAGATTACTAGCACTTCCCAGTGGGATAGACAAAGTCATGGCCTGTGGAGTAGGCTGAGGAGTTCCGTCTGGTCCGGGTACTGCTGGGAGGACAGTCCATAAACCCCAGGCCTGTATCCTCACACAGCTCTGAGCCGTGTGTGCTGAGTTAGGAGCCTAACAAGACAGGATTAATAGAATTTTCTGATGATGCTTGATGGTCTGTGATCCATTGGCCAGCTGTTAGATCCCTCTGATACTGTCTTTTAACTTCTTATACCAACCCACTTTCTATTGCATGTACTAATTCCCTTTAGGCCCCATTCTCTGTCCTCTAAAATTAGGTTTTCCTCCCTGCCAAGGATCAACTTTAGAATCACATTCCAGCCCTATTCGGGTAGTTCTGACTCTTCAGAGTAAAGCAGGTTGTTATGGAAAGCTGCCTTTTAAAGCACTACCAGGGCCCACCCTGGCCAGTGTGGCTCAGTTGATTGGAGCATCATCCCATGCACCGAAGGACTGTGAGCTCCATTCCCAGTCAGGACACATACCCAGGTTGCGGGTTCCATCCCTGGTTGAGGTGTGTGTGGGAGGCAACCAATCACTGTTTCTCTCTCACATCAATGTTTCTCTTTCTCTCTCTAAAATATATATTTTTTAAAAACTTTTCTAGACAAAAAGATTTCAGGATTGTCTATAGCCAACTACACTCTCATTTTATTTTACTTTTTTTTTCTTTTTCTTATTGGTTCTTTGCCACTTACTGTCTTGAAGATAAAAAAATAAGAAGAAGAAGAATTGAGTTCCCAAGCTTGAGCCTGCTTATTTATAGAAAGGACAGTCAAACACAGGTTGAGGACAGTAAGCAATCTCATTCCAAGGTTTGGGTTGGGAGGGGTCAAGGAAGGCCTGAAACATGCAACGTGTTGAGGTTTCATGTTTGCTTCAGGGATTATGCCTTTTAGGGCTAGGGAGTAAAGATATGTAATTAGTTATCTGCTTCTGCATCTTAGGTCTAGGTGGTTTGGACATGTTTCTGCCTAATAGAATCAGAATGTGAGCCACAGTTATACTTTTAAGTTTTCTAGTAGCCACATTGAAAAACTAAAAAGAAACGGGTGAAACTAATATTATATTTAACAATACAACTTTCTTATACGATAATATATCCAAAATATGGTCATTTTAACATGTGATCAATGTAAACATTATTGAGACATTTCACGTACTTTTCTTCATACTAAGTCTTCAAAATCTAGTGTGTATTTTACACGTAGGGTACTTCTCAATTTATGGGCTAAATTTTAATCATAAATAATGGTCTCTAATTTGATTTCATAAAATTTACAGTAAAAAAAAGTAGATTCACATACCCAAGTTTTCGCAAGCAACTCTAAAAATTTTACAATAATTGAATTGAGTATAGTTTTCTAATTTAAATACATTAATAAAAAAAATTCAGTTCCTAAGTGACACTAGCATATTTCAGTGCTCAAAAGAGACTTGTGCCTAGTGGCCACCATATTAGATAACAAAGCTCTCAGTAGTTAATAATTTAATGTGGGTACATTGAAAAATACAATGAGTTCCAATGAGTTTGGCTATAATATTTTAATCCCTTGGGTGGCAAATAAATGAGGAAAATCACTATCATTAGAAAATTGCTACCTGGTAAATGTCCAGAGTCCTTCTCAAAGCTATTCAGTAAATAGTATTTGCAGCCCTTATTCTAAGAGACACAGTGCATAAGGTCAGGTGAAAAGAAATATCAATAAACAGATAACCATTTCTATACTTTTCTAACGTTCACAACCACGGTCAATAACCTCAACGTTATAGGCATGGGGTAAAAATCTCGTTTGTTCTCAGATCAGGTAGAACTAAACATATAGTAAAACTACCCAGTAATCACTGTCCCATTTGGAAGACTTGACAGGTTGTTTAAATCAAGACAATCCTTAAAGAGAACACTTTAACACCTAAAGTAACAAGAAAACAGTAGTTCTATGGAAATTAAATCCTTACTACAACAAAATGCAGAATTTCATCTTCGTTCAGCTCATTTTTCAGTTTCCTGAATAACGTTTGCATTGCTTTGCAGGGTCCACACCAGGCTTGGTAAACATCGATCACTAGAAGATGATGATATTTATGAAAGGGCAGAGTCAAAGCTTCTGAAATAGCAGCTTATCCCAGGGCTGGTGCAGGCCAAGGGCTTTGTGTGGAATAGAGAGCCGTGCTCTGTGCTGGGGTGCCATGGGGTGCCCTGGGCCAAACTCCAGGTTACTGGTCAATGGGGGAGCCCCAGTACCTGTTAGGCCTTTGTTCTGCAACATCTCATCCCAGAGGCTTTGACTATTGATGACAGTCTGCAAAACGGAAGGCGCTGTAAACGGCCTTCAAGTGCCAGTACACTAAGTAAAGAATTGCTGCTAGGTCATGCCTACCTGTAACTGGATTTCTCGCTTTTTGCCTGCCATTTATCCACTATCCCACGAAAAAGGGGAGAAAAATAGAAAACACTTCAGAGAAATTTAAATCATGTCCTGTTTATGCGTTCAAGCAACATCTTAATGCACGGTAGACATTTCCCTTCCATATTGGCTTATGTACTCCCCCCCCACCCCCCTCCACCTCCCCCAATCCCCCCTCCACCCCCCCCCACCCCCCCAGAGAGACTCCAGTGCCCCAGAGGCCTCTTCCTGCTGGGCGCTCTGCTAATGCTGAGGTACATCAGCCAAACGTCTTCCTAACACAAAAATCCTGAGCAAGCCCTAACGGGTTTGGCTCAGTGCATAGAGCGTCAGTGAAGGGGCCCAGGTTCGATTCTGGTCAAGGGCATGTACCTTGGTTGCGGGCACATCCCAGTGGGTAGTGTGCAGGAGGCAGCTGATCGATGTTTCTCAATGTTTCTAACTCTCCTTCCCTCTCCCTTCCTCTCTGTAAAAAAACAATTAAAAATTTTTAAAAAGAATCCTGAGCAAGGTAAGAATGTAAGGGGGTAGAGTTTCTTAAAAATATCCATCAGATGCTCTAACCTCAGAGGGAAGGTAGGGGAGGGTGGAGGTAAGGGGGAGAGATCAACCAAAGGACTTGTATGCGTGCATATAAGCATAAGGGATGGACGCAGACAACAGGGGGTGAAGGTGAGGGCAAGACTGGGGGGATGAGGGGACAATGGGGGGATAAAGACACATTTGTAATACCTTAATCATAAAAAATTTTAAAAAATAGTTGTGTTTGTTTTCCTGGAGCATTATGTTCTCTGTTTTCATCAGCACACGTTCCCTCTGAACATGCTCATGGATCTTGCTGGAAACCCCCCACCCCCCACCCCCACGGGAGACTTCATTTTTAGAACCAGGCTACTAGTTGTAGGGAGCACAGCATAAACTGTCCACAGGTGTGCAACCAGCGAGGCCCAAATACCTGTTCAGCGGCGTCAGGGGCTTTGAGAGCGAGCGTGTCTGCGAGTGTGACAGCAAACACTAGTGTGAAACAACGGCGTGACCCAGAGCAACCAGACTACATCCCAGCAAATCGTGTGGATTGGCCCAACAAGCCCTGCACAAAACACAGCCTCCTTTAAGCTCCACGGATGTGTTTAAACAACAGGAAGGAACAACCCCCCACCCCCAGATCTCAGTCGGCCCCTCTGTCTAGGCCTGTGCCTTTGTGGATGAGCTCCACCAAGGTGAGTACCTGGCCCCCGGCCGGCGGGGGCAGAGTGTGGCCCGGCCCTGCCGCGCTTCCTGTGGGCGCTGATCGGGAGAGCCCGGGGAGCAGTAGGGCGCCAACGTTTTCTGCCAGCCTTCTGGCCGCCCACGAGCCCAGGCACACCCCCACCTCCCCACCCCCCACCCCCACCCAACCGTTCCACGCTTCTCCCGCCTCCACCCCTCCCCCGCTCCTCCCAGCTTCACCGCAGGAGTTCCAACTGGGCCAAGGTTACCTGCATTTGGCCGGGAAAATCGCTCCCTCTAGCGCCCCTACACTGAAGGGACTGCAAAGGCCTGTTTCCCCCTCCTCCCTCAGCTGCCTCCTGTCTCAGTCTCCCCGTGCAAGGCAATAGGTGAAATTAGGTTTTTAAACATTACTTCTATTGATCGCAAAAACCTTGAATGCTGAGGCTTTGAAACATAAACTTGATGAGATTTTGATTTGGGTCTTCCTAGAATTGACTTCAAGGACAAATGCACTCTGAAGATGTTACTTATAAGAAAATGTGCTTATATTTTGTTAGAGCAGAATGTAAATTATAAATGCCAAATAGCCCAGGAAAGATATTACTCCCGAATGGGTCTAATAGTTTGTTATGCTGCTTGCATATAATTGACATTATCTTTCAAGATTTGTTAAAAGTGTTCTTTCCTACATTGACCTGCCTTCTCTCCCCCTCCCCAGTACAGCACTATCTATAGTATTTAATTATTTTCTCGGGTCATAGATTTATTAGCACCTAATTGTGTCATTTGTATATTCACTGGACCTCTAACTATATCTGAAGCCCCAGAGAAGAAGAACTGATCTTTTTTCAAATTTACTGAATCTTTTTTTAAAATATATTTTTATTGATTTTAAAGAGAAAGTGGGAGGGAGATAGAAACACTGATGATGAGAGGGAATCATTGATTGGCTGCCTCCTGCGCGCCCCCTACTGGGGATGGAGCCTGCAACCTGGGCACGTGCCCCTGGCCGGAATTGAACCTGGGGACCCTTCAGTCCGCAGGCTGAGGCTTTATCCACTGAGTCAAACCAGCTAGGGCTGAATCTTTTTCCTTTTTCTTTCTTTCTTTCTTTCTTTCTTTCTTTCTTTCTTTCTTTCTTTCTTTCTTTCTTCCTTCCTTTCTTTCTTTCTTTCTTCCTTTCTTTCTTTCTTTCTTTCTTTCTTTCTTTCTTTTTTGCCATTTCTCATGTGTTGAGTCCATCTAATGAATACTTCTTTGTTATTTTATCTTTCAACTTTGCAATACCCATTTTTAATAGTTTGCATTTCTCTGTCGAGATTTCCTATCTGAAACATTCATTGACATCATATTTTCATTAATTTTAAAATACCTTTTCTTTTCTTTGAACATATTATTTTTTACAGCTGCTTTGAAATCTTTGCTAAATTTTAACAGTTGGTCCCACTCAGAGATAATTTCTATTAATGCTCTTTTCTTCTTGAGCAAAGGTCATAAGTTTCTGTTTCTTTGCAAATCTAGTGTCAGCCTTGTAAAGACTCTGAGTTCTGTTGTATTGTTTTAAACATTACTATTTAATTGTTCTAGTAGGCAATTAACTCTCTTTCCAGGACTCAAAATGCAAAATTAGAAAACCCCATAATGTGTAGCATTTAGTAAAAAGATAAGCTTTATAATATAAAGGTACAGGTGAGTTGAAAGTCAACAATGGAAAAGATATAATATAAACATCATAAGCATAAAAAGTTGACATGATTATATTAATATCAGACAAAGTGACTTCAATACAAGAATATTTTCAGATAGACATTTCCTGATGATAAATAGTTTCATCAGGAAGACAAATATTTTAAAATGTATCTAATAAACAACAGAGCTTCAAATACATGGAGCAAAAAATATTGCCTGAATTAAATGAAAGAAAGGCATATCCATAATCATAATTGAAGATTCTAACATCACTTTCCAAATAACTGATAGAATAAGTACACACAAATCAGTAGATTATTAAAGATGTAAACAACCTTATTAATCAAATTGACCAAATTGACATGTACTGACAATTGCAGAATACACCATCTCTTCAAGTGCACTTGGAATATTTTCCACAATGAACCATATAGTAGGTAATTTAAAAAATCATAATAAATTTCAAAAATTGGAATCTTTCAGCATATTTTCTCTAATCACAATAGGAATAAACTAGAAATCAATAACAATAAAATATTTGGTAAGTTTTTGAACACCCAATAGTTAAGCAACACTCTACTAAATAACCAGTGAGTCAAATAAGAAACCAAAAGGGAAATTAGAAAATACTTCAAATTGACTGATAATTAAAACACAACGTATAAGACTTTGTTGGATATTGGTAATTCAGTGGTTAAAGGGAAAGTATAATATTAAAGACACATTACAATAACACAGGTTTTAAAATACATAATGATCTAAGTTACAACTTAAGAACTAAAAGAAATAACATATTTAAGTAAGGTGAAGAAAGAAAATGAAAAAGGTTAGAATAAAAACCAAGTAAATAGAAAACAGAAAATAAGGTGATATTGACAATATCAAAAGTTGTACTTTGTAAAGATCAGCGAGATTATTAAATTCAGAGCTATAGTGATCAAGAAAAGTAGGGTAAACAAAAATTACCAGCATCACAAATAAAAGATGAGACACACTAGTGACTTCACAGCAATAAAAATGACAGGAATGGAATATTATAACAACTTTATGCCATCAATTTTTTAAATGTAGATGAAATAAAAATTCTTTGAAGAATGCAACTTGCCTTTTTAAATACAATTATTATAAAATATAAATGTTTTATGCATTTGAATACATATAAAGATATCAAATTACAGATATTCGATTACAGTGGTTTTTATCTAGAGTGCTGACAAAAAGCAAATTCAATAAGCCATTAATTATACTGCAATATTTGGTTACTGATACTGAAAATTATCAACTATTACTTATATAATTATAATATATTAATTCTAAATGAATACTTGTTAATGTTTGAACAACATTATCTATTAGAATAAAATTGAAAGCAACATAAATGACCCAAATAGAGGAGATTATATTAAAGATGATTAATTATTACAGATGAATATGATGGCTACATTGAAAAGATCTTACTACTTATCCTTGGATGGTGAAATTACTTGTAATCTTTATTTTCTTTTCTTACTTTTTCTATATTTTCCATACTTTATGCAGTTACCTTTATTTTAGAATCAGAAAAAGCAGTAAATATTTTTAAATTCACTCTCCTCAGTATTTTTACAGATTTTCTTTTATTGTCCATGGGTTCTTTCTCAGCTACTTTCAACTGTTTTAACTATGAAGATTAATTCTCATTTAATCTGGCTTTCCTTGCTACTTTAACATGACATTTCACTTATTTTCTGAGCATTGCTTTTTTTTCTAAGCTAATGGGTACTTTTTCAAAGACATCTTTTCCCCCCATCATAATAGCCATCTTTACAGAAACATCTTAATACTACCCTCTTACCTTTACTAGATAGCTTAATGCCCTTCAAAGGGTACTTTCTCCCCCCCCCCCCCCTTGATGTGAAAGTGCATAGACTTTGGAGTCTAACAATTTAGGTTTAAACCATGGCATTCCCTCTACCCTTAGACTAACATAGAACAGATTATATAACCTTTTCAACCCTAATTTTTCTATCTTAAAATGGGGGTTGTAGTAGCATGTTTGTGAGATTAATGGTATAAATGATGGAAAGTGCCTCACAGAGAGTGTGTTCCACGGTTGGCACGTATGTTTGCTTCTCGCTCCCTGCTTTTCTTTGGTTGATTCCCTTCTGAGGCAGGATCTGATGATGGCTACAGAATTTTAAAAAATATAAGTTGTCTCGCCCTAACCCGGT